TAGGGAGCAGTGTAATGCCAACTGTGGCCAGAAGCAAATTTGAGGGGGGGGGGGGGGGGGGCGAACCCCCCCCCCCCCCCTTTAAGCTTCCCAATGTCAACTTTTTTCTAATAGAATCATTGATATACACTAGCCAAAAGTTTAGATTTTGGTGACGCAGCAAATATTGGGTCAACAATATAGATCTGGGCAACGTTTTGACCATAACGTCATATCTCAGCAGTCCCTCCCCCTCCCCTCCGCCAGCCGAATGCCTACCACCCCTCCCTGGCCTGACCCATAAATCCGCCTTAGCAGTGAATGTTAAAAAGGCTCCAATTTTTCCACGGTGGACGTACCTGGTATAGAAGAAAGCAGCAGTTTCGTTATATCTAGGCTATTTATCATGTTGAAACTAGGGGGTGTGCGAATACCGAAGGGTAGTTATTGAATTGAATACCAGATCGAATTAAGAAAAAAAAAAGCCGAATATTGAATCGAATATCGAATAGTGATTTTATTTGTAGGAATATTCCAAAGTGTGCTGTGAATGAAATGATTATATGTGCAGAGTATGCTCCTGGTGCAGAATATGCATCTCGTACAAAGCAAAAGCACAAACGTATAGAAGTTCTGGTGGAAAAAAAAAAAAGCAGCTGCTGATGGACGTTGGGCACTAAAGATCCAATTTTATGGCGCAAACATAATCTATCTACCCTAAGCGTCACAAAAAACCCCAAGTTACAGCCACGCATGCCTTTTTTCTCGTTAAAAGCACGACCTAACACCGCGACATGTCCTTTTTCATATCTATATATCTCAGAATAGGGGCATTTTGCGATATTTGGTCTCAATTTTAAGGGAAAAAAAGGGCACCCGGGATTTTATTTTATATAAATAAATAGATGGCTGTTAAATCTGAGTAAACAGGCTTAAACAATTAAATCTGAAGTAAAAAAAAAAAAAAAACCTTTGGTTAGGTGGCGCAAGTCAATGTCCGACTGCCGCTATGCACCCATCCCTCTGCCCATTTATCTTGTTCTAGAGAGCTTAGATTTAAAAGAGGGAGCAAGCGAAACTGAAACCACGGAGGCGGCTCCTGCGCAGATCGGTCGTAAGTGCGCATGTGCTGTGTTGTCACGTGGAAAGAAGACGAGCAAACGGAAGAGCAACGACGCCTGCTTGATCGACGCTTTCGTCTTTTCGTCATCTTCTCGCAGTTCGTAATTCAAACGCAGCTCTCGAACGGTTGGAAACCTTCTCAAATCTAGGCACACTATTTTTCCGTTCCGTTTCATTCCGAATCAGAATTTGCGGCTTGCAGTTCCAAAAGAACAACGGAGACAATTCAGCCGGTTTCACCGACGTGGTTAACATGGTTTTCTTTTTGTGATCTTGCAGTCGGCGATTTCTCTGAGTGTGGCAAGTGTTTTCTATATCGGCACTTCAGTTTGAAACGAGGGGCTTGACTCATCAAAAAAATTAGGCATGGCCCGAAATTCCGGCCTCCTAACAATTCCTTTCTGGAAGCGGCGCAAACGGGATGTTTCGGTTGTGATTCAAGGTTAGATAGCGTCACGGTCATGAGTAAATCTGCGTGCTGTGAAGTTTATGACGTTCGTTACTTTGCTTTTTTCTAACCTGTGCGTTAGATTTTTGTGGAATGGTAGGACCAAGAGGTGTTTCTCGCATGGTCTGTCTGGTATCGCGGCACTAACATCGGGAGAAAAAACGACTCCTTTGTCAGCTCCGCGCCAACCGCGTGTCTTTGGCCGAATATATTGAATATTCGAGTGACCGAATACTAGGAATTCGATTCGAGAATCGAATTATTTGGGAACTTGCTATTCGATTCGAAGTCGTATATATTTGAGTATTCACACACCCCTAGTTGAAACTGTTTTTAGTACCGTATTTACTCGGTATTAATTTAATACCATGTATGCTCAGCAGAGTAATGCAAGCTCGGGCACCACCTCTCCGAGACTGACGGTGCGAACTCCACTTGTGAACACACTGAGACCGGAAGTAAACCATGTGTTGCTCGCTCACTGGATAGCGTATGGTGTGAAAACTGGTTTTACCATCAATATATGCTTTATATAAAGAAAGGAACATTGTTACTGAGCTGTGAATGACCTCCGAAGGTTGTTCACAGCCTTCAGAGTAGTGTGTTGCCGAAGACATCACACAGAGGAGACAGAGGTGTGGGGCACTGTTACATACATATAAAAGTAAAAACATTGAAAAGGCAAAAATACAGAAATTACTGTGAAACATTGTTTAACAAATTGGTGATTGCAATTCTAAGATCAGTAGTGTTAGTATACTTGCAACCATTACTGCGGGAAGGCAATTCCAATCAATGAAAGTTTGGGGCACGTTCAAAAGTAGGTGTGCGTCAACGGGGGATCCTAACTTTTAGTCAATGATTGGCGCGTGATGACATGCAAGAAGCATCCGAAAACAGCGCTTGGCGAAGTGTTGGGTTAGGCTGATAAATCTTGTGAGATAAACATAGGCTACATACTTTTCTACGATGGGAGACATAGGCAAGGATAAGGAATAGGCATGCTAGGAAGAGAGATAAGGCAAGGAGAAGGCAAAAATAGGAAACATGAGTCTCAGCTGAGTGCTGATGCAACATTTATGACATGCACTATGGCCTCATTATGTAGGTGGTGTTTCTATAGGTGCCCAGTTTTTCCCTCGCAAACATTTCACGAGTACCAAATGTATTCCAAATTTTTTTTCGCACTCTTAGTGTTTTGTATTAGTTGCAAGTTAAGGATAATTGTAAGAAGCATATGGATTGCTTCCTATTTTCTGTCTACCGTTCTTCCAACATTTCGTCTACCGCCATACATTCTCCCATTACGATACACCTAGCAAGCGGAATCTGGAGCTTTTAGAAGAGGACAACGGGAGTAGAAACCATGTGATCAGCATTGGCCACTCTGGAAGTTCCGGCACTCATTTTGTTGTGAAGGCTCGCAGAACGAAGAAATGCGCTGCTCTGCTCCCTTCAGGAGCATATACAATGGCACTAGTTTACGTTTCGAGCCAACTAAGTTTTGTATAATGCAGAAATTATTCTGCAGTTTCCCTTCACTGGTTTGTCAACAAATAATTTTAGGTATTCGTGCATTTGGGATTTTCTTTTTGTTATGTAGAGCTACAGAGTGGCAGTTTGCTAAATGGGTCCAGGATTTTTCTGAAACTAGTTTTTCAGTTGCAAGAGGGCACAGTGAAAGAGGGCCAAGAATATTCTTAATTAAAAATTCAGCTGCTCAGTTTTTTGCGACATTTTGAAGTGAATATGTCTTCAAAAATTAGGGCATGTAGAAGCTAGCAGCAGTTGGAACCAAATCTTTTACTGAGAACCAGAGAGAGAGAGAGAGAGAGAGAGATTTTTTTTTAATGTTTATAAAGGGGGTACTTTGTAAAAAGCCGATTCAAATGTGAGATCTCACATGCACATCCACATTCACGGTTGCTTGGTGAAACCAAAACCATGCCGTATGACATCGCTCGAAAGTGGTTTGGTTGGAAGCCGCTGCTTTCCGTTTCTAGGTCACCAGCCAGGAGTGGCGATTATCGTTTGCTGAACGCACAATGTTGACCGCACATAAACCAGTATGTTTTCTCCATTCTGTGCACATTGATTGTTGAAGCCCAAGGTTATATACAGGCCAGAAATCGTAGTGACCTAAATTATAAAAACCAAAGAGACAATTGCAAGAATGCTAAGGGCTGCCGAGGTGACCCATTCTTAGAGAAACTGTTTCACCGCCTTGTTCTTTGATGTTGAGTAGTGTTATTCATTTGCAGACAGGTTAAGTAACAAGGAAATTACTATATTTTCCGGTCTATAAGTCGCACCCCCTACTATCATCCGTTTTATTTTTAAAAGAGTTATATATATATTATGTGCATCTTTGTATAAGTCGAATTTCTATGTACAGTCGGCGCTGTGAGACTGCATTGATAAGTCTGGATATGTATTCTGATGGCAGTATATGCACGGGTGAGAGCAGTCATTTTACGTATTCTCACCAATAAACCGAATGACGAACATAGCCGCTGCAGTTACCTCAAGTCACAGCTCGTCCCGTGATTATAAAACAAAAAGCACACGAGTTTCACCATTGTATAAGATGCGCCGACAGAAACTTGGGAAGAAAACTGTGACTTATACACCGGGAAAAATGGTACATTGATTTACTCGTGTTTTTTAAATGTCATTCTCTAGCCATAAAAGGAATGCTTGATATTTTTTTCCCTTGTTCATTAGCTAGCTCGTTTATTACAGGAAGAAATGGAATCAGTTCTGACTTCTTGAACCTAATTGCAATCGCAGCTAGTGTGTTTTTGTGAGAATGCAAAGATGTGGCCTTCATGCAAGCTATTTGGGTGCTGATGAAGTACATAATTTAGGACTGTCTGTGCGAGTGAAGTTCTGACATCCTTACACAATTGATGGCATTTATTACTAGTAAAAGTTGTTCAGTGCTGAAGATGCTAAGCCCCCTTTTTAAGCTGAGCATGACAGTGTTTAAACATCTAAGTTAGCTGCACCATCTAAGAATTGTTTTTTCGTGAGATTTGTTTTTGCATTGATGTTCTCTCTTGCCTTGTTATTTTTATTGTCCTATTTACATTAGCATTTCTTACTGCATCAATGACTACTGTTGTTATGCTTGGATAAATAGGGAAAATTGTTGAGCAGTGTTGCAAGTGATGTACAGCCGAATCACATTCAACCAAAGCACGAAAGGTGTTTTTTTTTTTTTTTTTTTCATAATCTGGTTGGAACAGGTTAGGGGAATTCTGGTTAAGTGTGATTTGCACTGTACAATGCCTATTTCACGCTGCATAATTTAGGAATGAAATTACGTTTAGAGCTCTTGTCCCACGCATTTCTCACATTTCTGAGAAGGTTAGTTGAGGTCATTATGCCCGCCCGAATTGTTTGTTGACATGTGTTGAAAAAGTGGGAACGCATTGGTTTCACCTGTCAGATGTGGCAAAACGAAGGAAAGATCGTAAAAAGAAGAAGCACGGCGGCAGCTCCTCCAAGAAGAAGTCCTTGAAAAAGGGCTCGAGCGTAGAGAGCAGCGGGTCGAGCAGCAGTTCGGACGAATCAAGCAGTTCGAGCAACACAAGCAGCCCCTCCTCCTCCTCGGGAAGCGACAAGGAGCGTCCACGCAAACGGAAGCATTCCGAGGAGCCTGCAATGGCTGCTGCAGCTGCTGCAATTGCTGAACATTCATCATCCAAGAAGGCCAAGCACAGCCGCAAAAAGAAGGACTCGAAGAAGGACAAGCACCGTCACGGCAAGAAGCGTTCTACCTCGAGCGACTCCGAGGACAGCTCCACGGCTGAGAAGCACCACAAAAAAAGGAAGAAGCACAAGTCAAAGGACAAGAAGCACAAGTCATTCAGCAAAGAGAAGACTACCATAAAGACTGCAGGCCTCTTTGAGGACTCCCTCAAGGAGCTACTTCCGAGGGCGGGAGTGACGCTGGTGCCAGACTCCGCGAAAGAAGCAGTCCTGAAGACCACTGCCCTCTTTGCCGATCCCCTCAAGGACCTGCTCCCCAAGGTGGGGGGATCACTTTCAGATGACCTGATGAAAGATGTTTTGCCCAAGGGAGGAGGGTCACGCTTCAAGGACACCATGAAGGAAATAACAGTTTCCAAATCATCACTCCTATCAGATTCCTTGAAAGACTTGAAAGAACTTCTCCCAAAGACCAAAGGGTCCCTTTTTGATGATCCTATGAAGGACTTATTCCCAAAGACTAAAATTTCACTCTTTGATGACCCTATGGAAGACCTGCCCCCTAAGACTAAAGGACCTCTTTTCGACGATCCCATGAAGGACTTGCTCCCGAAATCGAAGGGGTCTCTCTTTGATGACCCTATGAAAGATCTGCTACCGAAGATGAAAAGCTCTCTTTACGATGATCCCATGGATGACCTGGACATGATTCCAAAGACAAAAGGATCTCTCTTTGACAACCCCATGAAGGACCTACTTCCAAAGCTCAAAGGGTCTTTATTCAATGACCCAATGAAGGACCTACTTCCAAAACCAAAAGGGTCGCTGTTCGACGACTCCATGAAGGATCTGCTACCGAAAACAGGACCATCACTGTTTGATGAACCCATGAAGGACTTTCTTCCAAAAACTGGAGGTTTGCTTTTCAAGGACCCCATGAAAGACTTGCTCCCGGAGATGGACATGTCCAACGATGAAGCTCGCAAGTCACCCACACCTCCGGCCAAAAAGGAGGGCGCAAAAACCAAGCTGATCGACTTTGACATCAACCTTGAGGCTCTTGATCAGGAACATGGTTTTGGTGGCAACAAGGCTGCATCCAAGCCCAGCCAGCTGATCCAGTTTGATATAGACTTCGAGCAGATAGAGGCCAACCATGGATTGGGCAAGAAGGAGAAGTACAGCCCATCTTCACCCACATCAGTGCAGAAGAGAAATCAGGAGAGCGCTCAGTCAGACAGCGAAGGGGACAAGATTGGAGCGTTTCTGAGAAACCCGTCGCCACCACCATGCAAGGGAAATGTGAAGGCCAGCCCCGGACAGTAGATACAAAGCAGTCCAAAGGCACCTGAACTTGTTTTAGTCTTAAGTTTTGTAACATTTTTTTCTGTGGCTCCTTGGAAGATCATGTCCGATTGTATGCAATGTCCCTTGTGTGCATTGTAGGCGTCTGGTGCCCAACATTGGCAAACATTTGTGTGACGGTGCACGGTTTGGTTGACCTGGTATACGAAGGCATTCTTGTATGCATTGTATATACCGCAATTTCCAAAATCGTTATCAGTGTACCTGCATATTGAAATCCTGTATTTTTCCTGATCACTTTAGCGAGGAACAGAGCGAAAAGCACAGCTTGCATGTCGGCACGACCATTGTGCTTAATTTGTTTTGTTGAAGGGAATGTTAAAAAGCTAGTCTTTACAGATCACTTTTTTTGTATCCTTTCCTCATTGCTCTCTTATATGGGAGGACAGGGCTTGTCTATGCATTGTCTTTAGAACCAAGCGATCTTATTGGCAAGCAAAATTTGTTTCTACTATTACGGTGCCCAATTTTGACACATTGAGCAGCAAGCAAACTTAACACGATTCATTTGAAATTTCACTTTCCTTTCAGTCTGTTTGTTTGGTATACATCTCCCTTTTTGTGTGAGGGTGTCTTTTTTTTTGTATACATCTCCCTTTTTTGTGTGTAAGGGTCGTCACCATTCACAGCTAAGTTGTTTATGCATTGTTTGCACTTTTTTTTTTAAGTTGTCAGTGATCGGTTGCACTTTTTGTTACTTGGGCCGAAAGGGATTAGGAAGTTTTAGTGGATCGTTCCGGTAATTCCGATAACTATACCCGATAATTCGACGACACCTCTGCGAATGCATGGTATCGTTATCAGGTATTGTTACGAGAAGTATGGGAACGACCAACTAAAACCCCCCTATGTTTTGTTATTTGGGGAAAGGGGGAGGGGCTGAGGGGAAGATATCTGCTTAGCAAGTGTTCTGTAACCTTGTGCAAATGCAGAAACCCGTGTTACTGCGTTGTCTGGATTTAATAAAATTGTGGACCCTCCAAAAGCTGTCTTTTGGTTGACCTTTGAGCCGGCATTGACAGCCGTGTGTGAAAACAACAGTTACACGGTTGCCTTCAAGAACAACGGAAAGACTGTTTTTGTAATTACGGTCACTACACAGACGAGCTGGTGGAAGTTTACCATGATGATTTTAACGCGAGAGTGGGGAAGAAGGAGAAAATTTGTTTACAGTTGAAGTGCCGCAGTCTCGGGTTAAAGTCGCATTTTGTATTCGCCCCCAAACTACGTCCAGCTTGCCCAAGGATCAACGCCCCGCGGATCCCGACAAAAGAAGTTGCTCGCTTCCCGCGCTTTTCCTGGCTACATAGCAGCCGCGGATCACTATCTATTCAGGCGTGCACGAATCTGAAAAGTAACACAGATCAACAAATGCAGAACTGAACTTTCAAAACGAGCAAGAACAATTCGATTTGTGTAGCGTGCGAACCGTCAGCGGAGCGCGCGCGCCCTGTTTGCCGCGTTCTTTTCCAGCAGCCAACCGGCGACAAGGGACCCACAAAACCGCTCATCCATTGTCATCCGCGGCTCGGGGCTATTCAACTATCGCAGCAGCTCTTTTTTTTGATCCACAGAAGCTGCACGTCGGAGTTCTGACTCCAAAGCGGTCTTCGGCGCGCCGCACGAGGCTAGGTCGTGACGCGGAGGCCGCTCATCTACGCCAAGACCCACGGCTCGGATTCCGCCCGATCGATCGGGAGCTGCGCTGGCTGCGCGGACATCGTTTTGTTTTTATTTATTTTGTTTTCTTTCGCCGTCGACATCCGGGAAACGAAACCGACGAAACGTCGGTGATGGCGACCGTGGTTGGAACGGCGCACTACGGGTCGGCACTTTGTCGCCCGCGTAAACCGAGGTGGGGTTGAGACCCTGGTTCGGGCCGTGGCCGACGCCGAACGAGACATGCCGTAGAACTCTCCGCTTTGCCCAGGTATGTGTGTTTTTTTGTATGTTCGCCGCGTTTTTCGGAGGGAGTCTTGGTCGCGCTCCGTGCATCAGGTGGCTAGTCTATGACTGGAGAGGTGGAGGGGCTAATGTCGTGGATTACGGAAAGGGCTTGTGCGAGTTGAGTGGCGCTGTAAATACGAGTTTCGCTTATATCGGAGGTTGAGGGATGATGCCGTGGGATCCTTTTGTTCCTTGTTGAGATCACCGATTTTGGGGATTTGGGTTGAGTCCTACCATATTGCTTCGTAGCGTGGGAAAAAAGTCAGCTGTCCGGTTTCGACGTGAAATGATGCTGCGCATAATGTCTCTGGTTCAGAATTGAACTCTTGCCATGGTGTATTCTTCTGACTGAAAATTGGGTTTAACTTGTGGCTGGTTAGCCCAAGTGGGTGCCAGCAATTTAGACTAGTTTGATCTCTAATGTAACTCCCGAATCTTCAGCATGCGTCAATGGCAGTGTACATTTGCTTGTTTTTTTTTTTTGTTTTTATTTCAACATTCGGTTGTTTGCTGACCTAATAATAGAGGCATCCTTTCTGTACACCCGCGAATGAAGTGGTTTTAAAACGACCAAAATGCTACTGATGCGACCTGAAAAAAAAAAAAAAAAAAAAAGGTTTGAGGTGTGAGTAGGTGTTTTTCTGTTCGAATGCCTTTACCGTCGAGCTGTTGTAGGACAACTCTTACAGTCGTTGACTTACGCATCCTTCCTTTTACAGGGCCATTTTCGAACCCCAGCAACCCTAGTCAGTAGGAAACCAGCAGCCCTAGATAATCCCTCCCAGCAGTCAGAGGCACCCTAGTCAGAGGCACCAGTAGAAGGAAGAGCACCAGGAAGCTAAACCATGAGCGGAATGACAGAAGACGTGGCGGTTCCCGAAGAAGAGCCCGACTACTCTGTCTTCGAGAACAAGACGGGACTGGCCGAAGACATGAAGTTCCTGGCTAGCATGCCGGAGCTCTGTGACGTAACGTTCCTCGTGGGGGACACGAGAGAGCCCGTCTGTGCCGTCAAGGCAGTGCTGGCCGCGCGTAGCAGGTAACACCAAACTCAAGGACAACCTCCGACGGAAAAGGCAATGGCGACTTCGGCTTGCCGTTGCTTTTTCGCCCGTTTGTTCTTTTTCCTCCCCTTCTCGAGTGGCCACGGCAGCCCGCGCTGTGGCCACGGCCTCGAGGCTGCGACCTCGCAACCTCTCCCGTGATCTTACTCAGTCCTTTGGATGTGGGCAACGGGAGAAAGGTGTGGCGAATGGGCGTCGGGAATTGACGTTTGGGGGTGCAGCGGTTCAAGTCTTACTTTGGAGTTTGTTGGAAGGGATATGACTGATTCGTGTCTGTCTTTTGGTGTCCCCTTCCTATCAAGGGTGTTCCACAAGATGTTGTACGGTTTCCAAGGAGTGCCAACTCGGGAACGGGACACGGCGTCCAAAAAACGGGATCTGAGCAAAGAGACAAAATTGAAGTTGTTTTTGAAGAGGAGCAGTGAGCCCATATTGAACATACAGTTTCCTCAAGTAAGTTATTCCCTTACATGTCCTTGTGCTACGCTTCGTATCGCATCGTCCACGCAGAGCACGCGCGTCTGACAAATCTTCCGATTTTGAAGTGTACGAATTCAGTACTTGTTTAATTTTGGCGAAAAGTAGTTTCACGCGGTTATTGTGTAATACTCGCAAAGCAAAAGCAAAAAAAAAAAAAAAAAAAAAAAAAAAAAACCCGGCCTACGTAACTACAAACATGCAAACACCGGTCTCTATTAAAAAAAAAAATCGTGCTGCTCTCTCGGTAGCGCCACAAACTAAACTAAACCACTTGCCAAGGGGCGAGCGAGGGTGCGATGGACGAGGTAGTACATCGGTGCACTCGTCCTAGGCGGTTTTGGGACGGCTCTAAGTGGACGAGCTTCGCCCGTCCAAAACGGTTACGAGGTTAAGACCTGCTCAAACAGTAGCATTCGATTACGTTAGGTTGTGATACGACCGCGAGTCACCGGCACATCCGTGCTTTGTATGCCGCGTGCCAAGCTCGGCGTACGAAGCGTGACTCGCCGTCATAACTCGATGAAAGTTCTCACAGCGTAGTCAAACGAAATCAAACGGTACTGTGTCAATCGGCTTTAATCAGCAACACACGAATAGAGGCTAGGAGCAGTACGCGGGGACCCTTCCGTTGAATGCGTTTCCCCGCCGCGCGTTTTGTTCGTTGCGCGTGACGAACTTTGTCCTCATTTTCGCCGCTTGAATTCGCGCTCCGCGCGCTTCCGATCTCTGCATTTCTATTCACGGCGAGGAGCTCGCTAGGGGCGCTTCTGTTTTCCTCACCATGAGCAGTGCACGTGCTACCCACGCGGTTACGTTTTAATTTTCATGGAGCGCTTAGAAGCTTGGCATTGCACGTGCTTGTACCGGCAGAGGAAGTGTCCTCACTCTGGGTTGTAAAAGAAATTCCACCAGGCGGCAATACCAACACTTCTTGCCGCGAAGAAACATGAAGCGTTGGATAATGTAAGCAACAGCGCATGTTTTGGCTGACTCCCTATGCGTCGACGGAGAGGAGGAGGCGAGAACGCCGAGCCCTGGTGGGAATGCTGGGTGGGTAGAACTAAGGCTAGCTGCGGCGTTTCGCGTAAGAACGCCGTCGTTTGGCTCTCGCACTCGAACGCGTTCGACAAGGGCAGTAGAAACAGACAGGTCAACATACAAATCGTTAAAAAAAGAAAACAGAGCTCTGCGTTTTGACGTTCCAGCGCTCTCGCCTCCTCCCTCGGTTTCTCAGCTCTTTAGCATTCCGAACCTCACATCAAGAACTTCTCAAACCCGTCCAATAACTGCGAGTATTTATTTATTTATTTAGTTGAAAATTTGCGTAGTTGCATTTATGTCGTTTAGTGTCACCCTGCGCTGCCGCTTCCCCGCAGTTCAGTGGCGGGCGTTGGGAGAAGCACCCTTTACAGGCGAGTGAGCTCGCGTGCACGTAAATGGAGGAAGGAGAAATCGAGAGATTTTGTTTATGTTAATGGGGTGACTCTATACCACACGAAAACGGTCATAGTACTAGAACACTATAATCTGTGGTATTATAATGTGCCGCAGTTCAGTTTTTTATTTATATTTTTGCTCTGATGCGAGTTTGATTTATCGGTACATTTGGCTGCAAAATATATATTCTTATTTGCATCGAACCCTGCCCCCTTTAGGTTTCTTTTTTTTTTTTTTTATTTCAATGGCAGGCATTACAGTTTAAACTTTCCTACACTTTCACACCTTCAATAACTTATGAATATAATATGTTAGCATCAAGACTAAAACGTGTATATGTTCAGATGGGTATGTTGTCTTTAACTATGCTTTTGTTTGGCATTAGCTTTGGTTATGCCTGCAAATCCAAAACAGTACTGAAACGAGTGTGTTTATGCGCGAGGCAGCGCATCTGCATATTTGGGAGGCAGCAGATCTTTAAAGGGTTCCTTGTCCCTGCTAACTGCCCGTCTGTGGCTGTAGCAATTTCTCCCGGGGCCTTTCTGTTATTTTTGTATAGCCAGATAATTTATTTTTAGTTACCCTAGTAGGGAAACAAGTTCTGGAACAACACTACACTGGTTAAAAATGTGCTTGGATCTCTCTTGAAGCATCTGTCCAGCACTTGAATGCCATCAAGCTCCACTGTTTCTCTCTAGCAAGAAGCTGTTGCATGAAACATATTTCACGCTTGCCTGCACACTGCTTTACTGGGTTCTACCTTCTTTTAACCAGCCCTGCCTGACCTACATTCACTGGCAGCTTCAGAAACGGGGCGTGGCCAGCCCTGAGCGTCCGATCATCGCTCCTGAGCCATTGAGATTGTGGCCTTAGCCAATAAGAATGCATGTGAATGAATCGCGAGGCATGAACATAATAAGCCTGACCCTGCATTTCTTTAACTGTCAGTGACCAGAAATGGCAACTGATGCAGAATAAGTAAAGAGCCTCCATTGTGTCCGTCGTCCAACTGTCTACCACCCTTGCCCGAACCATTTTTCAGGCACAGACCCACCAGACTTTGATCATTGAAGAGTTTGAACCCGATGTCTTTAGGCAGCTCATTGAATACATACACACGGGGTGCGTGACCCTTCAAGCACGGACCTTGCTGGGTGAGTGCGGACGCCGTCTAATCCAAGCTTCCTGTTGGAGCTTCTTCTTGGAGTCTATTCTCAAAACTTCCTCTCGTAGAAGGGATCGTGCCCGTGGCGTGACATTGCCCTTCACTTCCCTCGCAGGTCTGATGAACGCTGCCGACTATTACGGACTGGAGGAGCTGAGGAAAGGTTGCATGGGTTTTGTTCAGTGCTGCATTAGCGTTGACACAGTGTGTGCCCTGCTTGCTTCGGCTGAGCGGTACATTCAGTATAAGTGCACCAAATCGTTGGTCCAGAGGGTGAGTGCCATCGTCTCATCTGCCACCCTTGTCCCTTCCTGGTGGTCTTTGACATCTCTCGGTATTTCTTTGTCTGCTCTTTGTGAGTGTTATGGAAGTTGTGGAAGTTTTTAGAAATTAATATAGAGTGGCTGGTGGATCATTGTTGAGATTGGTACGTTGACCAGATAAGTCAGCCTCTTAGCACTCGGGGTGCACATTGCAGTCTTACATGGATCCGACGTGAGGTAGTGGATCATTTTATCTATTTTTTCCTGGGGATCTGAACGGGCATTATGCGAGGGGATCCAAGGGTGGGGTGCTGCCGGCACAAAAAATTGGCACAAAATTAAAAGTGGTCCGGCTCCTCGGTGGTCGCCGCACAAAGCCTTGCTTATAGGATGGAGGTGAGTAGGGTGCGCGTGTGTTGCGTGTCTCTGCCACTGGGGAGCAGGACCACGGGTGCAGAGTAGTGCTCCGATAAAAAACCGAATTCTAGAAATGCGTCCAAAGAGAGCGTTTTTACAAAACGGCGTAAGATGCTGCCTCTGCGTTATATCTTTTAACAAAGAGTTGATTTAGTTGTTTTCGATGATGCTTCACAATTTTCTAACAGAACCATATGTCTATTTTCACTACTTAAAAAGTTAATTAACAAATTTTACTTAATTATCCAACTGATCATAACGATTGGCCCCCTATACTATGTCCCCCTGGCAGTATAACTCACCTGCACAAAATGCATAAGTGTAGGTTTCACTGCTTTTTTAAGCTGTATATAAAAAACAATAATTCTAACATGAATGCAGTATTAAAACACTGGAAGCTGTATTAGAGGAGAACAGGGCAGTGGCTGCCACAAGGTAATTAGTGTAATTTTTTGGGAACACAGTGGTGAGATAGTGGACTAAATTCCTTTATTCGCGACTCCAACTGTCTATAGGTGGCACCACTCATTTTCCGAAATGGTAGTAATAGTGAGGGTCGGAGAGGCATGCTGGTATACCATTTGTTGAGCCTGTCTAGTGCGCTGGCTTCACTGAGTGACACAAATTATACCCGTGGGCTCTGAAATGCCACAGAAGAGAACTACTGCGCACACACGCAACGGCTTCCGCGGCTTAGTGGACAAATATTGCAGCACAAAGAAGGCGGTTTTTGGAGCGGTCTATGCTAGACGGAGGTTATGCCACACTCTGCAGTCACTGACAGTTTAAGAAACGTAGGGCTTGTCAAGTCCCAAGCATCTCATTATCGCTCCACAGCCAATGAGATTGCGTCATCTGCCAAGAAAAACTCCGAGGAACGAATCACGAAGCAAGATATGTGAACACCATAAGTCACGTCGTGCATGGGCTTGTGCCCAATTAATGGCTCGTCTGTTATCTGTTCCTTGGTTGAGAGCTCCACCTGTGAGGTGCACGAGCAGATCTCGCGTCGGCATTCGTGAATGATCCTACGAGAAGCATTTCTTGCATCGACGCCGCAGATTGATCTGACTTTCTGTCTTCTAGGTGCTCGAGTTTGTAGACAACCATGGCAATGAGGTTCTGAGCCTTGGCTCCTTTGCCCTCTTACCCGAGCACGTGGTGAGGCTCATCTTGTCTCGTGAAGAACTGACGGCAGATGAACTCACCAAATTTCAGGTTGGTGTCTCTAATTTGCGTCTTCTTCTCCTCCCCCGGCAGGCGTTCTGCTTCTGCCCAGTCGGGGTTTCTGTTTTGGCGTGATACATATCTAGACACAATATTTGGACTGAGCATATGATCCAAGAAGCCCACTAAATACCGTCGGCATTTATTCAGTCTTCTTCTTTTTAACTTTTATCCGTGTCAGAGAAGGTGAGGGGGGAGTCCCAGGGGGGGGGGGGGGGGGGGGGGGTCAAAGCGTTTCATTGCCTTTAGTCTCTGCTCTAGAATATTCACAAGGACCGCCGAATTTTAGAATGTCGGGCAGTCTGAGACAGTGGTTCCTAAATGGGGGTCCGCAAAAGCAATTTAAGGGTCCACGGAGCAACAATAAAAGTTTTCTTTCTTCAGATCAAAAAGAAATGTTTCAATTTTTGGGCGAATTTTCTCGTGTGGATGTCAATAAGTACTTCACACTAGCCCTCAATTATATCCATTTATTGAATCAATTTTATATTTAACCTATACCTTCCCCCTCCCCTCACCACGAATGGGTCTTCCATCATCTCCGCGGATTCACATGGGGTCCGCAAAACATTGATGGTTGAGAACCACTGGTCTAAGGAATCTGGTGCATCTACTTTCCCACAAAGCACTTGGGGGAGCCAATTGCTGTGACCTGTTGAGGGTACTCAGAAATTGACGGGGCTTAAAATATCTTTAGATTTCAGAAAACGGTTTGTGCCCAGACACCGAAAATGGTGGAACACCATGCTCGGCGCCACAGCACAGACTGTTGTTCTCTTGAGGTCCAAACATACAACAGCTTCATCATTGGCCGAGCTCCCTCCATAGATCGTAGCAATTGGCGCTCGCATGTGCTTCGCGGAAATGAAGACACTCCAGATTTATAAAGGCTGGTTTACTGATTTGCGCCCGAGTACGGCCAGGCGCGCTGCAACCGTTTACGACCGCCTGCGACGAGAGACCAGACTGGCGCCATCTGTTGGTTATCCCAGGAACACTTCCAATCAATGTAAATTTCTTGGAATTTTTATGCACCATTCTTAAAATATGTGCGACAATATTATGTGCAACCATTTCTCATAGATAGTTTATAAGTTTGATCACGCAAACACTGCAAAACCTTCATTCTAGTGTTATGCAGTTTCAGGACTCTTTGGCAGATGGGGCCAGCGTGTTGTTTCGTGTTAGGCCGTCACACTCGGATGCAAATGTGTGAACCGTCTTTTAGAGTTTGCGGGCGAAGCACACGGTATGCGGCCTCTGTCCGCCGTCCATCCCTCCGACACCCACATCGCGCCCCGGGACACCTATTGCAGGCGGCCGTGCACTGGAGCAAGCGCTACTGCGACACCATGCCCGAGGCTGAACTGCGAGAGGTCATGGGCAACTTCCTCGAGTGCATAGAGCTGTACAAGATCCCCGCGGGGATCATCATGCGGGAGGTCCACCCCCTCGGAGTTGTGCCCGACCACATCATCATGAACGCCCTGGCCTACCAGGCAGATCCCTCGAGCGTCGACATGAACAAGATCAGCTCGCCCAATCGTTTCCGACGCTCCACCGTCTTCAGGTGGGTCGGTTTGCGCCGCCTGTGCGTCGCCAAACTCCGTGACTGTACGCCAAAATTTACACGACCTTGCTCCAGAGCACGGTGGAAGATATACGCATAGGTGTGGACACTGCCAGATAACGTCCTCTTCTCGCCTTGGTTGCAAGCAACGCTGCTGGATGACTCTTCGATAAGTGGCTTGTGGTAGCCTGTCGCAGGCCCAGTTTTCCACGCTTCTCTCTGAGAGACATTCTCGTTTTTAAAGTCATTTTCTGGGTGTGCTGCATTACATAGAACTTGGTACTTGTACTATGCACGCTGCTTGGACACAGCATCATTATTGAGTCTAGTTTCGCGCCTCAATGGCGGCAGGAACAGTTTAATGAACACGATGAAGCGGAGAGATTTTTAGCGCTGTGTTTAAGCAAGCGTTAATCGGGGTTAGAGTAGATGCAACAAGTGGAAAATGCCTGCCCAAAACATACAAGAGACAGAAATTAGTCAGGACAATGTCTCAAACTCAGCTAACTTGTTTATTTAGTCCACCTTCTTACATAGTCTCAATCTCAAGGTCATCGCCACCAACACAAAAAGATGAAGTCTATACAGTTCAGGCGAAACAGTGTCCTTCACACAATGCAAGAATCTGGACAACATTACAGATTGATGCAATAGCGCAACATCCATCCACCTTCAGACTTGAACAAAAGGATATCTTCCCCTTCTATTCTAAGCACAGTTTCCACTTCTGACTCAAAAAACACCCTATCCACCTATTACTACCAAAAAAGGAAAAAAAAAAAACACACCAAAACGGTTTTTGGGCCAACACACGTCAAGCCCCACCCCCCAAAAAGTGTGTTTTACCGTTTTTTGAGACAACCACTGTCAAGGTCATCCTGTCTATTTTCTGCCTCTTCTACGTTTTGATGTTTCCTCTCTACCCCGGTCTCAGGTTGATCCAAAATGGTTAATATTCACCAGCTCGCCTGCACCCTTGCGATGTTTTCACTTTGTTTCGTTTGTTCCTCCTTTCTCCAGTTGTGCCTTCTGACTTGCGGAGATGCCGTCGAACTAGGCCACTTGGGTGCGGGCCAATAGGACTTTATCTGGTTGATCACGTCGCAGCATTCGCCATGCTGCGTGTTTTCGCCTAAAGAATATCTTACACCGTGCTCGAGAGTAGAGATTTTGTAGCTTGGAACTCGAAAACCTAGCCACACCTGGCTTTGCTCTGTCTGGTGTTATGCGACACAGCTCGTCGGTCGAGCACAGACAGGGTCATCATTTTCTGTCTCCATGCATGCAGTGTTGTGGAAGGCATGGACATGGGCACTCTCCCAACCACCCACATGCTTTGTAAAGCATGTCGGTGGTTGGGCAGTCAGTTTGGTGATCCTGCACGCAGTTGGTGAGAGCGAGAGTAGGTCAGCCTGTCGGTGCATTACATGATGACATTATAGTTGCTATTGAAAAGGAGGTTAAATAAAATGCGCAGTGTGTGTACCCAACTCATTGAGAATGTTGTGTCGCTGTGCAGGGTGGTGAGCACTAAAATCAGGCGTGGAGTTTGGATCATTCAGCACTGACAAGTGCTTTTCACACACTCGGAAAATTGTGCTGGAATTCTCGATTGTAGGGGATGTGTGAAGGAAAGCTTGGATGCCTATTTGCTGCACTTTTAAAGGCATGGCGAGGAGAAAGCATGAGGACTATAACATATATACAGACATCACATGTGAGGTCAGCTAAATGTTTAATCATGACAAATTGGCAGAGTTCTTTTTTAGCTGAAATTTGTTGTAGATCTCTCATGTAGATCCTGGCCGACTGTGTGGAGAGGTCAAGATGCACTTTGGGGTAATTACAATACCTAAACGACTACTTTTGCTCTTTAGGCATCTCAAGTTTAGAATTTGCTCGATGCTTATACAAGTAATAAAATATTTATATTCTTGAAGGCTGTTTACATTTAGGAACAGAATGATATGATTGTAACGGAGAGTATTGTGAGAGGGTGTACGTTTAGGGGTTAGAACTGCCATCACAGCTATCCCATCGGATTGTGGGATAGGGGAAAGCCCATTCTCTTTAAGTATAGTCATTACTGACATGAATGGCAATATGCCGTGCCCTGTGTCCCTTGTTTGCATTCGTTCAAAACATTTTGATGCCCATTCTTATACCCTTCAGAAATGAGGTAAGGGTCATTATATCTCATACTAAACACTTGTCAGCAATAAAATGTCTGCCTATGATCATTCTACTTTAATATTTTGATCGTAAAACAACTAACTCTACATAACTTTTTTTTTCTTTTTTTTTAAAGTGGAAGCAAATTAGCAGTGTTATCACGACCTCATTTCACTTAAATCGAATCGCAGCTGCCAGCTGCCACTGCCGTTATAAATGGGTGAGGCGGCCCATGTTCTAAAGCAGAAGTCCTCAAACTGTTCCATCTAAAAAAAGAAAAGCTTTTTTCTCTCTATTGATAGCCAAGGAAACCTGCCTGGTTTCAGTATTGATGCACTAAAGTAGTGCAGAATCCTGCAGACCTTGTAAAGAATGATGGACATACTAGAAAGTGTTTGGCACATAGTTATGCATCAATAGATGGCTTTAAGTTTAACCACTATTTAGAAATATTTAGGGAGCGAGTGACGCACACACTTTATTTTAAGAAACTCGAACTAGGTGTTGTCTTAAAATAAAGTGACTTTCTCTCTCTCTCTCTCTCAGGTCTTTGTAAACAGTGTTTAAACTGGAAGAACACTTTACATAAGGCAGGAGCAACAGGAAATTTTGGAGCTTTGGGAACCCCCGGGTCCCCAGGAAACTTGAAATTCCCCAGACTACCCCCAGGGGTTCTCCGAGCTTCCTTATTTTCCTTGGCCGTCCTTACCCTTAACGAAAGCCTTCTTTAAATTTAGACACCGTTTTAGATGGTCTGGGCCCTCAATTGATGTGCAGCAAACAGTCTCTAGTATGTGCATTATTGTTTACTAGTTCTCTAGGTTTCTGCACTGCTTTATAGCATGAATGCCGAAACCGGGATGGCTTCCACGGCTATCAATCAAGGGAGATAGGTGTTCCTTGATATAGAAAACTTGGAGAACCCCAGGGTATCAGTCACTTAGAGGTTCCACCAGCTTGACTCCAATTTCGAATTAGGCTTTTCGTGCAGTTGTGTGAAGAGCAAGGGGGGGTTTCGGTGTTTTGGGAGCGCAGTGTGTCACCACTCAGGTCGATGTCCATCGCGGACCCGTCCCCCGAGAAGCCCCCCGAGAGCGACAACCAGATCAACGCCGAGGTGGACAAAGCCAACGTCAAGACGCGGGGCCGCAGCAAGAGCACCTTTTCTCGTCCCTACCGGCGCAGCAAGACCCTGGCCGAGAGCTAAGTGGGCCTCACGGGGCGACAGGGCGGAGGAAGGCACACGTGTGCATGTGCGCATGTATGGCGGAACCACGCACATCGAGTCTGCCAGGCATGAACGCGCCTAGGGTCTCCGAGTACTCCTGGGGTCATGGAAGAAGCGTGGTTGTCGAACTGATGTCGGAACCGAACTGCTCTTCACATTGAATGTGTACACATCTACACATTTGTCATGTCTTGGAACTACCGAAGGCAGCTAGCTGCTTTTCCCTTTAAGCGTGCATGCACGTCCACATATTCCGGGGGATCGGTGGCCAAGTGTGTTATCACACCGCGGCTTGGAGCATGTGGAGCGACAGCTTGCGCTGCTGAACCCACCCCTGCCCTACGGGCAGGGGTGGTGCTGATCCAGATCTGGATCAGCATCGTATTGGCAGCGTGTGGTGGTGTTTCACTACCGCGTGATGCACAGTAAAGAACACCAGACCAGCAGTGGTACTGCACTGGCAAAATTCTTCATCTACAGCGGAGACACCAGCTGCCCGTCGGGGCTGACTAACTTCCCACGGTCTAAACTTGCAACACAATTACCTTTTTACACATTCATTAAGTCTTGGCATACATTCACAGTAAAAGGTTAGAGAAACGTAGATGCCGACAGGGACGAGCAGAGCGTTTGAAAGAGACTTGTAGGTGTGAAATGTGCGCATTTCACATCTGGGAGTTTCCTCATGCTCACCGCTCACCTCGGCAAAATCAGCTGGCATCATTGTGGCTTCGAGCAGTCGACATTGCGCAGTGCAGTGCCCTGGGAGTACTCAGCGACCCTGGGCTTGCCAGGCCGAAGGTGTGGAGTGAAGTCTGCCCTGTTGGCACAAGTGGTGGGGAGAAAACTAGTTCATTATGTCCGTCACTGCCGAAATTGGACTGTCGAGGAATGCCGAGTTGTTGCCATTAGGGTGTTGTGGATTGGTGTTAAGCTTTACAAACATTGTTGGTGTATTTCTGTGATGTCCCTATGGAAACCTATTGAGGTGTTGCAAAGGTGTTTGCATGCCACATTCTGGAATTGTGCATTCAGATTTTGGGGAAGGATAATAATTTTGCAATCTGCAGCAAAGCTTGAAATTTCAAGTTGATCAGGTGACTGGTGTTTCCTGCATCCTGTTGCATAGCACAAATGCTGAGTGCTTGTTGAGTAATGGAGGTTAGTTTATCGTCGTAACAAGAAATTGATGAGATATTGGCCCATATTCACCCCCTACCTACTGTGAGGCGCAAACGGCTCCAGCATCTGACATGGCGGCACTTAAAATCGTGGGTTATTCAGACACCTTGTAGTGTGTTAAATGGCAAAGATTTGACATTTGGGATATTGGTTGTGTCTTACAGTGACACACACTTAGTGCCACTCTCTCCACTGGAGAGATATGTAAGTCGGGAGAGGTATGCAATCCACTGCATTTATCACTATGAACGTGTTTCTCCACTTCTCATTGCCTAAGTTTGTGTGAGTGTTCTTTCCTTTTTATTTGGGTGACTACTATGCACTTCCCATGTTTGGTAAGAGCAGTTGCCTGCTTGTCTAAGCCCAGAAGATTTTGCTGAGAAGTTCCAAAGTACTGGTGAGAGCATTGACACAATGTCTTCACATTGGTAGCTCTGTTCCAAGCTAATTGCTCAAGCCATGCTGTGAAAATCGGAGCAGGCAGCTAATCTCCACTTTGTCTGCATGTCCACCCATTGTTCTGTGTTGTGAACCACTTTTTTTTTTTATTGTAAGCCTGTGCTTAGAACCTTGTTGAGATTGACTTGTGCTCCACATATCATTTTTGTCAGTGCTGTAACGTCTCAGATGTCACATTCTGATCTGTTTATGTGGTCCTTGGAGTGCAATAGATTCTTCTCCCCTTTTCTGAGCTAGTGGGAAAATGGCACATGAGGATGTTTGCGAAGCTAAACTTTTGCAGTAAATTTTCAATATTAGTGTGCTACAGTGCAGCTTTTCAAAGTTAACCATTGCATTACAAACATTTTTTTTTTTTTTTCAATATATGACAAAGGTTGGTTTATATTGTCTGGGTGTTATATATTTTCCTTTTGAAGAACGTTAAAAGGGGAATGAATGTAGCTATAGGTTTGAAACCGCATGTCGTTTTTCCGCATTTCCATATTGTCACTGAAACATGCACTAGATGCAAAGTAGCTCCGAGCAAAGTAAATTTAGCTCCTGCGAGGACTTCGGCATCACTGATGTTTGTAGTTTCACTGGATACTGTATAACTCAATCTTTGCAGCTGTTACAAGGACACAAAAGTGATACTGTTGGCATAGTAGCTCCTGCCTGCATGTTTGTTTTAGCATTGAAGATGTTGCAGCTCGGAAACCCGTGTAATTCACAGGAAAAACAACACACCATCGCACCACATTCCGAGCACAGTTGTGTTGTACAAGTATTGTTTCTGGCTATTTTGGAAAGACATTAGGCATTTTGTGCTGTGAACTAGTTCCTGTCCCTTGTGGAATGTTTCCCGTGACGTAGTCTATTTTTCCAAAGATGTATTTTTGTAAAGTCTGTTAAATAAAGTGTTGATGCGGTTTCCCTGGTTCCGCAAGCGTCGCCACCGTTTCTTGGTCAGAGTAGCACACTGCCAGATCCAATCGCCCAGGAAGGCGATATCAGCTTACACCTTTCCCCTTGCACATCAGAAACCTCCGCGTTTGAGCGGAAACCACTTCACTCGTCTGCACGCATCTTCTCTTTCACTCTATTTCCAGCACAATGCAATGTCCCTTTGTTGAGCACCCAAGAGGGACAGCGACGATTATACACCGTTTCATCTTACTGTGGACCGTAGTGGACGCTATGAGCCATCAGAGCCAATCCAAGGCCGTGCGAGTATCACGTGACTTTCGATGACGTCAGTCCGCCCTTTCTGGTAGCTGGAGGCTCCCCTTTCCCCCCAATTCGTCCTTCTTTGTGGTGGCAGAGAAATGTCTGGTTAAACGCAGCAGAAGCTACCTTTCCCACATTATGGCTGACCAAGTGACGTCAGTGCATGCTCAGGGCCTGTCTTCTACTGGGAGTGTAGTCACGCGACATGTCTGCAGCGCGGGATTGGCTGGGATGGCTTTTGTAGCGTCCGCTGTAGTCCATTGTAAGGAGAGGCGGTGTATGGTAGCGGTAGAGCACCGCTCGAAAAACGGACAACCAGCTCTTTTGCCCAACGAACCATGAAAGGGCTGCTTCTGCCAGCCCTGACTCTGCTGTTAGCGTTTCGGGACGCTGGGTCAGAGGGTTCAGGCTTCTCGGCGGAGCACGAGCTTCTGGATCAACCGCTCTACCTTACCCCGTACCTGGTGCGGGGCGACGTCAACACAGCGAGGGAGCACAGCCGCGTGGGAGCTTTCGGCGGGTCGCCCGACCTGGAAAGCTACGCGGGCTTCATCACGGTTCGCGACAAGCTCAAGAACCAGCTGTTCTTCTGGTTCTTCCCTGCCATCGTAAGTGCCTGGCTTTCCACCCGCGCCTGCTGCTCTGCGGTAACCAACATAGGTGATGCTGTCTGCGTTAGGATAGGTCATCTTAAAAAGGAGTCATGAAACGATATCGGGTTGGAATGTTCATGAATTTTCAGAGGCATACTGGTCCTAGTCTGGCCCAAGTATGCTTGCACGGACTGCCTCAGATTCAGAAGCATGGTCGCGGCAAAATTGCGAGGATAAAAGGGGACTATTTCTTTCAGTCTTGCCTTCCCAAAGCTTGACGTAACTGTGGGATCGAAACCACCCGCCCGACGACAGTCCATGAGCACTCGACTTCGGCTGGTAACAATACCTCGGTAGACACTCGGGTAGGGGCTCGTGACCAACCACTGCGGTAGTGAGAATAGCCGAACTGTGACAATGGCTGGAGCTCAGCACGTGTTTTCTACTTTGCCGAGCCTAAAGTCACTGGATCCTGGGAAAGTAGCGCCATTGCCTTCCCTGCCTGCTAGCGGGACAGAAACAGATACTAAAGGCCCGTTCACACGATGCATTTTTCTCGCGCATCTAGTGTCGCGAAACGTAGTTTCGCGAAATGGTTGCGCCGTCTGAACGAGTCCGAAAAGGACGCCCGCATCTAAAAAAAGTTGCGCGCACACCTCGCTTCTGAAGCGAGCTTTTGCTGAAACTTTGCCGAGTCCTGTCAATCGCTCTGAGGGCGAAGCCAATGGCCACTCAGAAACGCTCTCACGTGGCCTTTGAGGGGGAGCGAGCTCTTTGAGAGGACCACTACACTGCCGGTGTTGTAGCCGAGCCAAATCCGAAAAAAACCGAAACCACGAACGATGGATACTGCCGGCGCTTCCGCAAGCACGTCAAGCACCACTGAAGGAAAAGTGAGTGGCATATCGGAAAAAAATCCAGCGATGGACGAAGACGTAATTGGTGATGATGATAATTCGCGTCTATTTTTAGTCATAATTAAGAAATAAAACCTTGACAAGGAAACAAAAAGGGACGTACACAGTACCGTCTCAAAACCAGCACAGCGTACAGCTCTCATTTACTTCCACAACAGTCTTCTTCCTTGTCAACCTCCATCCAGATTATACATATTCAACAGTAAATAAAGTAAATGGCAGTAAGTGACAATTCAACAACTAGTTAATGACAATTTAAGAGTAAATTAAGTAAATGGAAGAAAATGACAGCTGTATGCTGTGCTGGTTTTAAGACGGTGGTGTGTATGTCCCCTTTTGTTTCCTTGTCTATAAGGTTTTATTTCTTAATTATGATTGTTCACCAGCTCGCCTGTGTTTTGACTCTTAGAATGTGGCGGGAGATGGAGAACACGACGCTGAATGGCTAATAATGATGATGTTGATGTTGGCTTCCAACTGAAGCGCCACTTTATGGTCAACACCCAAACTATTTTCGCGAGTCTAAACGTCATCGTTGTTGCACATGAAGCGGTACGTGTGAACGAGCACATTTCGCGAAACTTGAGTGTCGCGAAACTGTTGCGCGCCTAAAAGATGCATCGTGTGAACAGACCTTAAGCTGGGCCTTCTCTGAGCGCTTGCCAGAGTAGGCCGTTTATAACGAAAAATACAGCCACCAGGATCAAAATACGAACGTGCGATTGTCATTTCCGGATATTGTGGATCATATTCAACCTATTTTTGAACATGACGGTCCACTTCACCACTTTATTTCACAGTGGACCATGGTTACCACCAACAGTCATCCAGACAATCATGTTTTTTGAACCCCTTACAATGCTGTCACTCTTTGTAAACACCAAGACAACACGTAAAAAAAAATCCTGCTGCAAGAAAATGCGGTACCCCCGTTCTTTCAGGGGCTGAACTAAAGTCAGTAAACGCCGCTCCATTCCCCGATGTTCTTATGTGCACCGCCAGTTTCTACTTGTAATCTATGTACAAGCTGTCCCCCCCCCCCCCCCCCCCCCCTCCAAAGCTCATTCTCCGCCCAAATATAGCGCTAGATGATTGCCAAAGTTTCCGAGCACCAACCGTTATCTTATTCAAAAGTTACAAGCATTTTTTTTTTTTTAATTATTTCCATGGGAAAATGGCGGCCGAAGGACCTCTTACGATACACGGAGCTCTATGGCGCCAGTGACCGAAAACGGTCGAAAATATGCCCCATTTCCCCATTGAAAATTTCAGAAAATTACTTATAACTTTTGAAGAAGATAAGGGTTAGTTCTGAAACTTTGTCATTTGGTTCGGAAGGCTAAGGCTATATTTGGGTGGAGAATGAGCGTTCAATGACGCAACCCTTATTTTTGCAATAAAAAAAAGAAAACATTGTAAGGGACACCTTGCACATGACTGAAGTTGTTGCAGCGTAATGACCCTGTCCAAGCTGCTGAGAACTAACAAAATGTCTCCCCTAGAACTTTTACTATCGTTGTCACTAGTGCAAGTTACCGCAAAAGACAAAAAGGGTGCGAGTAGTTCACACGCGTGGTTGCCAGAGGAGAAAACGACGCTTCTTACGTCTGAAACGTCTATGTCTTCATAAACGATAAATAACTGATCTTATATGCATATATTTCGATTCACCATGTAAAGGGAAAAAGAACGGGGAATCCGCGAGGAGCCGAACTTCTTTGACTAGATTCTTCAAGGGGCTATGAAACAATTTTTTTTTTACTTTTGCTAAATACTACTGATTCACTCACTAACGGTAATAATCGAATAAACTTGCCTTCATTTTTTTTTTTTTTTTTTCTAAGCAGTGGCAGTCGGCAAATAAATTCGAGAAATATGAGCATTGTTCATCCCTTCAACTCGGAGCCAGAACAAGCGGCCACGTGGCTTGGTGCCTATCCTATGTCGCCAAAGTTAAAGGGGCCATGAAACGAATTTTGGGCTGGGCACGTACCGCTTCACTTGCAACAACGATGACGTTTAGACTCGCGAAAATAGTTCGGGTGTTGACCATAAAGTGGCGCTTCAGTTGAAAGTCAACATCATCATCATCACCATTAGCCATTCAGCGTCGTGTTCTCCACTGATCTCAATGACAATTGCTGGATCGAGCTTGCCGCTCCCGCAAGTGAAGCCACCGGACTTCACTCGCTTGGGATACGATTTGCCGTTTTTGCTAGCCTTTGCTGCGGTTTTCCAGCGTGCTGTGGACACGTTTTCTACTCGTTCGTCGTCATTCGCCGAAGAAGCTTTTTGAAGACTCTGTGTATTGTTGAGACTTGCCGTCGTGAACACGTGGAAAATTTTACGAAAGTGCAGTGTCGCAGGAAAAAGTCACAACGCGTCGAAAGGAAGGGCTGGCGGCGTGTTCAAATCTTCCTTACACGCCGAAGTGCCGTGTCTCTGTGCCTTCGCACGCTTGGATACCGACCAAGAATCGACGCCGTGTGGATGTGTTTTGCGAGTGCAATGTGCGTGAAGCCGTATCAAAAGGTACAACTCGTCGAAAACAAGTGTCGCCGGTGTCGCGGCGTGATCAAAGCTTCCTTGGCACTCCGAGTGATGCATCTTTGTGCCTTCGCACGCTTGGATACCGGTCAAGAATTGACGCCGCGCCAAAGTTCTGAACGTGTGTCGCGCGTAGAAGCCTTTAGATCATTTATATATATCGGCCACGGAGTTCTGGATCGTCCAGCTGTTCCGGTGAGTTGCTATCAATAAAAGGGAGAGATCTGTACGTGTTCTTATGTACTATATTAACCATGGCTATGCCCCAAATCTACTCTAATAGATTCCGTGGGAGCACGAATAGGGCAACGTTGTGGAGCCAGGGGGGTTTTCGAAAGCAAAAGTACAAGACGGCGAGAATGAAAATCTTTGAAGCGCGGCCGATATGGTCGTGTGCAATCTGCTGACCAATTGCGCGCTCAAACGTCAAGTGCAATTAAGTAGGTTGATAATAAGCCAGCACTGATCAGTGATGAGGAGCTGTTGTGCACGGTATTGTGTAAATCGTCTAAGGACGAAAAAAAGACGTACCTTTTCCCATCTTCCGTCGCTAGTGGACGCTGGATTAAGCTCGTTCCTAAACCGCGAGGGGAAAAGACGCTGATCCAGAGGCACGAACAGCTTCACGCACATTGCACTCGCTAGACACATACACAC